TAGAGCTCCTGTTCGTACAGTTATATTCTACTACCTTTCTATATATATTAATGATATTAACTTTGAAGATACAGCAAAGGCTGCAAAGAGTGATTTATATTTCTAAAAGAAATCGCATCTACTGTTATCAGTCTATCTATCTATCTATCTATCTATCTATCTATCTGTCTGTCTGTCTGTGTCTGTCTGTCTTTCTATCTATCTATCTATCTATCTATCTGTCTGTCTATATCTATCTATCTGTCTGTCTGTCTGTCTATATCTATCTATCTGTCCGTCCGTCCGTCCGTGTCTGTCTGTCTGTCTATCTATCTATCTGTTTGTCTGTCTGTCTATATCTATCTAGCTATCTATCTGTCCGTCCGTCCGTCCGTCCATCCGTCCGTCCGTCTGTCTGTCTATCTTTACAGAGAGGTAAAACTGTCTTCCTGTTTAGACCAGCATATCCTGTTCAAAAACCCAGGCTGCTATACCTGTTTTGTGCGTTGTGTTCTAGATCAGGGAATGTTATGCTTTTAATCTTCCACCTGCACCTTTATATGCAATAAATTTTATTATTATGAGAGGGCATTTCTCTGATGTGGAACTGTACACTGTAGCATAATAAGAACAGTGCTCATGTGTTTCTGTGTCTAATGGCCTGTGAATTTTCTGCCCCACTGCAGCTAGGAGAAAAGCAGCCTAATTTCCAGGGAAAAGCAAAGCCGAATTCTGTTCCCTGATTGGACGCACCGTTGGTTTTTCATATGAGAGTCACGCGTAAACATACTCGCACGCATATACAGAAATCATACAGTATGCCCATGCAACTTCAACTCTCTCCCTCTCTTAGAAACCGGTCTCAGATGAAGAACTTTTGACATTGCCGAGTGCTACTGCTTAACGTGGAGTTCAGAGGCGGGTTTGCACAACAAACAGATGTTCTTTGATGTCAGCTGCAGTGAGGGGGAGGCAAAAAATGGGAACGCTAAAAAGAAGTAGGAGGAAGGTGTCAGAACTCTAATCACCATGCAGCGCTCAGAAAGAAATCTATTGTATCTCTTAGCACAAACACTGGTTTGTATTCACCATAACCTTGCCCATTATAGAATGTAAAATTCACTTGATTTGTTATATCATTAAGAATTGATTCAAATTGTTTTGAACTGTGTATTGCCTTGGCATTTCTTTTAGGATTACAAAGCTGACAGTGACCTGTTACGCTGACCTTATCTTCTCTTTAAATAGGCTTTGAGTCACATTTACAACGCCGGCTCGCTGATCCAGAGAAGCTAAATTACACAGGCTGTCAACCAAGCCAACGTAGAGCTCCGTTCGGGCTTGTAATAAATTATGTAAAATAGCCTAACAGCAAGAAAATGGCCGTGCCATTTACTGTCACTTCAGACAATTTGTATTATGACATTTCACGAACGCTTGGCCAATTACACTGCATAGATCTATTGCATAAACTAAATAATAGTTTCTCCACTCCAGCTATGTGATTTAGTTATTCATTAAACCACCCACATCACAAGTGCAAAATACAGCTCAGGACATGTACTCCATGAACAGCTCATTTAGGTTAGTGTGTGTGTGTCAGCACTGTGTATACGTTTTACACCCGCATGCCTACAAAACCAGTAGTATTTTCCAAAACAACTACGTTTACATTACATGTCACAATTTATTTCCACTGCAGTCAGCCTAGTAGATGCTATTGATGGTGTAAAAGAGTACTTGTGTTTGTTAAAAGCAAAAACTGCTATCATATTACAACAAATATATCTACTGTCTATATAATATCTACATTTTTTTCCGTTTGAAACAAATACATGTTTATCTGTTGACCGCATGATTCATTTGGAATACTATTTAAACACTACTTTAAAATGAATCACTTAGAATTTGTATTAATACTAATGTATTTAAAATACATTTCCACAATTTTAATTCAGAAACGCACCTTATCGGCCACCTCTCTGAATCTTTTGAGATGCTGTCCTAGACCTTTTACACTACTACAAATATAGTATGAAAAATGTATTATCACACCTTTCAGTTTAGCCTAAGATCATAACGGTATAGATTTTGTTTGGATAAAAGATGCACGCTGTGTAATGTCTCTCTAGTTCAGGCTCATTTCCAATACTTTTCCATTGTCTCAACAGTTTCAACTGCAATATTGGTTACAGTTTAATCAGACCTCCATTCGCTGACCGACATTTTAGCTTTAACTTGTCAGCTGCCTTTGTGATGGAGGAACTGTCATAAGGTGCAATAAAAACACTCACACACGCATAACTATCTGACACTGAGGGTGTGACGTGTCAAGACATGTAGGCATTACCATTGCCTAGGCTGAAGTACTGTATGGTATCTTATCTTGACAATAAGAAAGAGGAATCTCCCATCAGTAACTGAACAGTTCACCCATAAATGAAAAACCATTTACTCGTGTTACTCCAATCTATATGACTTTTTTCTGTTTAGAATGTTTGCGCTGCTGCTTTCTGTACAATTAACGTGAAAGTTGACAGACACTAAATGGCTTCAAGTTTTGCTATGTTTATCACATAATTCCATCGGAAGACTACTTATGGTGTTTTTCATGCTTTTTGAAGATTTGCTGCTCATGGTCCACTGTATAGATTAATCTTTTTGTGTTCTATGGAGGAAAAAAGTCAGACAGGACTTGGAACAATATCATATTTGGACATAATCTTTTGATAATCAGTAACATACTGACAGTCCTTCTGAAATTCAGTGAGTTTGTACTGTTTTACAGGTGACAGGTGAGTTTTTATTTTAATTGTATTTCTTTATTTTTAAACTAAGTTAAAGTTTCAGGAACAATCTGGAATTCTTACAGTGTTTTCTGTCCTGGAAGAACATCTCGATTTATTTCCAAGTGCTTCCTGAAGAAGAGGAGATGCAACAGAAACGTGTCCTTGTTGGCACGTCTTATGACTTCAATCTGGCATGTGGCTTTGTCTTTACTGCAGTTGCAGTTGCTCGCCCCGAAGCACTGTCATTTGAAGTTGAGAAAGAGCTGTAAGATGTGGAAATGGCCCCTGAAGATCAAACAACTATCCCTTTTCTCCGTGTTACAAGAAAAGAGGAAGAAATGACATGCTGAGTCATCAGTCCAGTCAAAAAAAAACTTGGAGGTGTCAAGAGAGCAACTCGATTTGTGGATGGAATTGGAAGTTAGAGTGTGAAGGGGGCAGAGAAGGGGAAAAAAGGAAGGGTGTGAGGTAAAAAAAAGAGAAGGTTGACTCAAATCAAATGGCAATGGAGGCCAAGCCCTGTCATATGGCTCGAGGTTTTCTGGACCTGCTGTGCTTGGAGAGGAAAGCACATTATCTTCTTCTGCATTCCATCCACACATGTCTCAAATCAGCACACTGGACACCAGCTCAAAGTTTAAGCCAGATAATATATTTGCCAGTTTCGTATTTTCTGAAGTTAGAAGCTGAAGGTAAACTGGTGGAGGAGCATAAATGGCTTGTGAAAAGTAAAACTATAACCCATATCCACCGACTGAGCTCTTGTGTCCAATCTGGCCCCATTACATGCATTTTCTACCAAAAAGAAGGGTGTTCTGGGCTTGAAAAATTGGTTTAAAAGTGAAGTGCCTCTTTTTTTCTGTCAAAATACCTGAAGCAGCAGATTGCGATGTGTATTTGTTTGATGGGCACTCTGCTCCTGTTTGTTGTGCTGCAGATGTACTCCAGCCACTTCATTTTACCTGTCTATCAGAAATGAAATTATTTTATTCACAAATATCATATGTGAGCCGATTGCTATGAATTTAAATAACTTCAGACCATTGCATCAAAGCTAGCTTGTGATGCCAAAAACGTTGCTGAACTACATTATTCAAAATAAGGAACATCATGATCCTCTTGGTGGAAAGAGGTTGTTCTGAATATCACAATGTTTTTTTATAAAAAGATGAAAAAATGGTTCTTTTAAGAACTGTTCACTGAAAAGGTTCTTCTATGGCATCGCTGCAAAAAACTAGCACATACTTATTATTCCGGCCAATTCTGAGAGAGGTTCGGTCGAGCACCTGCACCATTTGAGAAGAAAAAAGTTAATATTGGAAAACATTTCAAAGTAACTCATGGAAGCAGTTAAGAAAAAGTCAGATTGACCTTACTGGAAGGAAAAAGCTCAGAAAGATCAAAGCTGGAATTGAAGACAACAGTCCTCGAGAGATGAAAACAGGCATAGAAAGAGAACGGACAGGAAAGGAGCATCTTTAGTTTGCCTCGGCACTAAAATGAGAGCTTCTCAGTATTCATGACAGAAGGACAATCCATGGAAACCAGATGCTCTTAAACTTTCATGTATCCACCTCTTTTAAAAATCCAGTTTTCATTTCCTGCTACAAAATCCACCAGTATACGTAGTGAGCTTGAACTGAGATGAATTGGTGGCGTGCTAGCATGCTAAACTGCGTTAGATGTTTACTGGAAGAGAGTCTTGCCAAATGTTACGGTATATAATGTGTGTAGAATATCTGACCAGCTATTTCTTGTCTTTTAGATATGGGGGGTTTGGCCTCTTTTTGTGATTGGTGCATCTTAAAGCTTTGCAATTGTAACCCAATTTTTCATGCGTGAAGTTATCAAAATAGAGCATGTCATTAGCTTCAATGTGCTTGCAATCACTGTAACCAATCAGCTGATATTTATTTCAATTTTCCCTAGGAGTTGTGAAAGAAAGACTGTTTTCAGATGCACGCTTTGATGTAGCCAAAGAGGACACATACTTTGCCCTGACATTTATTGTGTCGGAGCATACCGGTCGCAAGACATTTACACCTCGTAACAAGCCTACCTGGCATTCGGACAAATTTCCCCACTGTTCCGAGGTCAGATTAACATGAAAAATGTCACAAGTCTCCCCGGCCCCTTCTCATTATTCCAGCTCTTAAAACACAAACACCTCTGTCTCCTTCAAAACAGTGACCTTTGCTGCTTTTCCCTGCTGTTAGAACCTAAATTAGTTTCTCAATGGCTCAATTTCTGCTTAACGCTAGCCTGCGAATAAAAAAAGGAAATTAGATCTACTCAAATTAATTTAAAAAATGTCAATTTTAAATGCTTGTTGAATTGAAATAAAGGTTGACTGAAATCAAATATAAAAAACTATAAAAACAGTGAAGTATAAAAAGAATATATAAATAATATATATAAATATATATATAATATAAAGAATTAAACAATATATAAACAATTAAAGTTAGTAATTTTGTTGCGAAACTAATAGTAAGAATATCCTGCAAAGGTGTTTACAGATCGACCAGTGTGAGAATGAACATGTGGCTCTGCACGTTCCTTCATTTCTGTTCCATATGTCTCCTATTGTGAAACTGTGGATATTTCTCAAGACTTTAGGCATTACAGACAGACCGCTATTCAATGTGAAATCCTTACAGACATTTATAAAGCGAAATATTGAAAAACTCCACCTCAGCTCATACATTGAGTAATCCAGTAACTCAATCCATATTATCGATACAGTTATAACAACACTGTAGCTAAAAGTCTCAACTCCACATAGAAGATGCATGTCTGATGCAGTTCAGCAATAATGTATCAGAGGCAGTGCTATACTGTTTATAGTCAGAACTAAAGGCACAGTGTGCAGTGGTCTGCATAAAACACCTTTAGCCATTTTATATTCACAATACACAAAACAGCCTTGAGATTCTCTGAGAGGTGCTACAGGGTCACATAGGGCTGTTGTAGTGAATGCTGGTCATGTATTCTGCTGCCTGTAAGTAGTCACCCCGCGGGTGACATTAGCAGCTGGGGGATGACCGGTCACCTTGACCCCAAAGACAAGTCGATATCCCTTTTTCATTTCTCCTGTCAATCATGTATGAAGACTATTGCTCAAGCATCCCTCCCAACAACCAAACAACGGCCACGGCTGCAAAGTCACACCGAAAGCATGTTAAACAAGCAGTGTTTCCACTAAACAGGGAGGTTCCCATTTCTAGAGAATTGCTCTTGTGTGTAAATGAAATCAGCCCACCATAACAGAACACAAAGCTCATGCCAACTGAAGCATATAAGCTTTCTTTGGCTATAGTTCTTATTTTCATCAGTCGATTCAAAACAGCACAGATCAGTCTCAGCTGCAAGGAAGTGAGAAAAGATGCTCCTTCTTATGAGGAGGTGATAATTTGGTTAACTGATCAGATTGGATCGCGCAAATGTGTATTTTCAGGATAACTTTACAAATGCAAGTCATGCATGGTAGAGTATATACAGACTGGACTACAGTTTTTACTGTATTTTTTAATCAAATAAATGCAGCCTTGGTGAGCCTTTCTATTGCTAATTATCATTTATGCGTGCATTTAGAGTACAATCAAAACATGGTCATGATTTTTTATTGTTCCTAGTTTTTTTTCCATAGTTTGGCTATAAACTGGTTAAAGTTTAAAGACACTCAGGTCATGCACTCTCAATGACGAGATTGTTTGTTAATGTTTGATTTTGAAGTCTACCAGCGTCACAGGAGATGTCCTGTCCGTGTCAGTCATTCTACATGGCCATTTCCTGTTTGTCTAAAGTGCAGACTCTATCATCAGCACAAACACAAATTCCGGCCAGAAAACTCCAATCCTGTTTGGAAGCAGTGATGTCAAAGTCACCATGGCAACTGCTCTTACAAATTATGTCTCTTCTTTCACTCTCCCCTTCTGCCTTTGTCCATGTGACATTCAAGTGCAATATCTTTTTGTCACAATGCTGTGGGCATCAATGTGCCGATGCCAAGGTCACACAAGGGGAATAACCTGACCTTTTGCAGCGCACCGAATGCAAGAAGAGAGCAAGGTCAGGAGATGTGTTTGTGGGCTTTGAGTGGTGTGGGGGGGTTGTGTTGATGGCATTGTGGAACCGACTCTGCGAACGTTCTCTTTGTTGCTCACTCGTTTATACCATTCAAATGCCATTCCTTGCGTTTTGGAACAGTTTTTTTCTAATTCTTTTTCATTCAACATCTCTGGAAGAGCAGTGAGGAATTAAATAACCAGTTCGGCCAAAAATTTTCAAACATGTATAACTGTCTTTCTTTTATAGAACAGAAAAGGAGATATTTTGACAAGAATCCACACAGCTATTAGGGGATGTTCTCAGAACTTTGGCTGAAAAAAACGTTCTTCCAGTAACATTAATGTTGAACAAAGCTCAAAGAAATCTGGTCTTATAGCGTTCTCAAAACGTTAGCACAAAAAACGTTATTTATATATCATTAATGGAAGGGGTTTTCTTCTGAAATGTTTTTGATGGACGGTCATCTATTGTTTTTTTTTATGTTACTATTTACTAGCTGTTTCAGAACGTTTAGAGATCAATAAAAGAGCATTCCCATCTTGTTTGCAAAATTATAAAATCGGACGTTCCCTTAATGTTTTCGGTAATGTTCGCATAACCAAGGAAAAAAAACTTTTTTAATATTTTAAAAACTAGATGTTTTGGATGTTCAGAAATAACAATAGTTGTAACTTAACGTTAGCACAAGGTTCCTGAAACATATTTTTGTTAGCTGGGGAAACTGCGTTTTTCCATAGACTTGAGTGTTTTTTCCACTTAACTTGATTGAACAGCAAAAAGTAGCATAGCTGGGACATTCTGATAAACTCTAAGGAAGAAAGAACATTCCCATCTTGTTTGCAAAATTATAAAATCGGACGTTCCCTTAATGTTTTCGGTAATGTTCGCATAACCAAGAAAAAAAAACTTTTTTAATATTTTAAAAACTAGATGTTTTGGATGTTCAGAAATAACAATATTTGTAACTTAACATTAGCACAAGGTTCCTGAAACATATTTTTGTTAGCTGGGGAAACTGCGTTTTTCCATAGACTTGAGTGTTTTTTCCACTTAACTTGATTGAACAGCAAAAAGTAGCATAGCTGGGACATTCTGATAAACTCTAAGGAAGAAAGATGGGTGAGAAATTGATGACTGAATGTTCATTTATGACTGAACTATTCCTTTAAACAATCTTTGGTCCCACTTTATATGAAGTGGCCTTAACAACTATGTACTTACATTTAAATTAATCATTTGGTGCAATGCACTTATTGTGTACATACATGTTTTTACATTGTCCTTATATTTTAAAAATACCTGCATGTAATTACATCTGTAATTAATTTCTGTAATTACATTTATAATTACACTGTTGACCCATCCCTTACACCTTAACCCACCCTTAAACCTACCCAAACCACCAAATCTGTCCCTAACCTTACCCATATCCCACCTCAATAGCAGCAAAAGTGTTTTGCAATACAATATGAACACAATAAGTACATTGTACTTAATTTTTGATGTAAGTACATAGTAGTTAAGGCCACTTAATATAAAGTGGGACCAGGAAAACAAAGAATTCCAAGCATTTCATTCTCCACATACCTTCTCCTTGAGCTCCTCTACGCTGCTGCTCTCCAGCACCACCTCCCGGAAGGCCTCCAGGTTCATCTGGGCTGGGCACCAGCGACGGGTCAGAACCGCTAACTGGGACATGGACTTCATGCGCTCCGGTTCTACAAGCAAGAAAGTCATTAAATGACAAAATACATTGGGCTGTTGGACTAGAATATTTATGACAACTATCATGGCCATGACGGTCTTCACCTTCAAGGACTTCTAGGAACACCTCCCAGTTACTGGAGATGTTGATGTCCTCCTCATAGACGTGATAATCCAGAAACACTGTGCCTGGGTTCTTCCAGGTCTTCTTCCTGAGTCTAAACCTGTGACACAACAGAGCAACAATCATCTTGTTAGTATTCTGAGGCATTAATCCTCCTCCACTGTGAGTCAGTGCATTTCAAAAATCAGTTGCTGCAGTGAAGCACTGAGATGCATCACTGCTGCGTGCAGAAGGTGGATGTGCATCCAAAACTGCTGCAGCATATTCATGAGTCAGGCCTGTGACAACAACAGCCATCCCAAGAACAACAAAACTGAGATTCCAGATGGTTAGCATGGTAAGTTTTGAATAAAAAAAATAAAAAATAAAACTTAATTGAACGTATAACACATCCAAAATGTAAAAGTACGCAACCTATTCTACTTTGCTGCAACACTGCAGCAGATTTAAAGTTGCGTTCTTTTAATTCAGCTAAGAGGTCACACCATGACGTATCAATCCTCTGTTGGTCACACGTGATTAAAATTTGCATGTCGTATTTCACCAAAATTGTACTTTGGAATGCAGTGAAATGCACACAAGTTTGCAATCCCGGTCCACAGCATTCATATGAATATGATTGTAAGTCAATGTAACAAAAGTATAGTGTGACCACCCCTTAAACTGCAAAAATCTAATACAACACTATGTCCAACTGTCTTTGGGCGCGCGCACGGCATGGTTAGGGTTAGGTGTGTACGCGCTCTGGCGTAGTTTACGCAAGCGCCGGAAGTGATCTCTCGCGCGTATACGTCACTACATTTTTGCAAAACTCTAAAAAAAAAAAAAAAAACTGCCTATACGTAGCTACTATTCACTGCAGTTTCCAGCTAAAATGAAGACTAGTTGCAGTATGACATCAACAACATTTTAATGCAGCTGAGATAAATTGATTGTAGGGGCAGATTATTGATTAATAAGATTCATTTTTCTGTGGTTCCTTGCACAAGACTATTTTACCACCTCAAATCACTTTGACCATAGTCTATGATTTGTAAACTAATACATTTTGACCTTTGCATCACATAACCATCTCTATATGTATGGCTTTTCTGATGTAAACTTGCTCGGAAGTCCACCTGGTACAGCATTGCACACCCAATAACAAACTTGTAGAAGCAAGCTGAAATAGCATGATTGCTTCAGCAAATGCATTTTTATCTTACGTTTGCTTGGTTGCCAGGTTTAGGGTTTAGTGTAGGCAGTATGTCATTTTCAAACGCAACAGAGCATTAACCTTTTTGTGCCACTCATCAGACATTTCATTTCCACAAATGCCACGATACACAACCAATGCAATAAAACACTGCCAGATTGACGTACATCTGTTTCGGAAACGGAATATGCTTTTAGTGCCAGTCACTGGACGTGCAACATGCAAGAAAGAAAAACTTTTTTTCCCAATAAGCCTTGGCTGCAACTGTCAGGAAATATTACAAGTGGCTAATTTAGAAAACACATGTAGGCAACAACTTCTTGCGCCACTCCAATAACAGGAGACTTACAGTAATTCATACTTGATTTCAACAGAATTTGACATTAGCATGTTGCTACAATACTCTTAAAATACATAAAAACATACAAATAAGAAAAAATACTCCAATTTTAACTGCACAGATGTATTTTTTAATCAATGATATCAAATTTTATCAGTATTGTGTAAAATTTCATAGAGCTGTTCAGGAATAAAATAAGCATTTTCAAGCTATGTATCCCTCGGTAATTTCTTGTGGATTTTTATAGTAGCGCTTTTGGATGTATGAGTAAAATAAGATCTGTGGTTAACATTGTTGAAATAGCTAGCAGGCTAGCATGCTAGCAAGGTGCTAAATAAGTACAGCTACCACAAGGACGTGAGTTTACATGCTTTGCAAATCGTTCAACTGCAACAATCTTTAAATACTAAAAACTACAGATATGACTATGTAAAGTGCACACAGTATGAAAACCTAATTAGCCATCCAGGTTGGCCTACAAACTGACGTCATGATTGAACAGCTCTATTTATAGTCAACATTTCTTGTGGTGCATTTAGGGATTGCCTTCTCTGTGTAGAATACATGTGATCCTGCCTTATCATTTCACTAAAACAAGGTATCTCACTTAGACTGAGATAGTTTATCTTCAGGAATAGCCATTAGCATCTGTAGCTCGCCTACGATGCATTAAAATGCTGCCTCCGTGGGCAGCTCACAAGGTTTTCGGTTTATTGGGTTCATCTAGTACATTCTTTCACTACTGTTTTTATCAGTTGAATAAAACAACAGGCAAAAGCAGTTGGATTTTATTTTACACCAGCATATCTGATTCCCACAAACAGCTCAAAGGCATTTGCATGCCTCATTCTGCACTCACAATTATATTATCATCCAAAACACTGCAGCCAGCGTCAGCCTTTAAAGCTTTTCATATGCAACACACGCAAACCCAGTTGATTGTCGGGAGATCCTCTATTGATTCGCCACCGACACACACATTACGCAATTCGATGGCTATTTATAGAGCATAGACTCCATGACGAATTAACAACACCCGCGCATCTCTGGATAATGGATGACGATGATGCTGCCGGTGCGCTGGGATCATTAAACGCTCGAGTCGTGAGAGAATGATAATCCAATAAAGCATGTCACCAAATCTCTTTTTTAATCCTCAGATCAGTAAACACTGCCTCTGAGGTCCACATCTGTTCTTTACAAACCTCCTGTCCAAATACGGTATGGTCGTAACGTTAAACCGCAGATACAAATGCAATACATGGTTGCCACTGTGAGCAGTACTCGGGTTGACCTGTGATTGCTGGGATCTAATTACAGTGCGCTTACTAGGCAGCAGTGTAGTAATATTACTCAAACATTCTGGTTGGGGTTTGTTCTTAGCTATTATAATTCTGAAATTATGTCAAATAAATGCTGTTCTTCTGAACTTTCTATTCAGCATCAATCCTGAAAAAAATGGTTTCCATCTAAACATGAAGCAGCACTGTTTTCAACGCTGATAATAAGAAATATTTCTCGTACAGCAAATCAGCATATTAGAATTATTTCTGAAGGATCATGTGACACTGAAAACTGAAGCAATGGCTGCTGGAAATTCAGCTTTGCATAAATGGAATAAATTACATTTGAAAAAGATATTTTCAAATATGTTTGTGGAAAAAAAGAAGCTTCTGAGAAAGTAAGATTACTGGTAGAGGAGGAACCGGAGATGAAAAGAGGGATTAGGCGAGAGAAAAGCAGAACTAGAAATGTCAGTCTAGGGTCCATTTAAGAGAACTTTAATGGCTCTTGATAAAGCTGGAGCTCGATTGTAATAATAATTCACAATATCACTCCTTTCACTGTATTTCTGAACAAATAAACGCAACCTTGGTGAACGTAAGAGACTATCAGATTCAAATGTAAAAATCTCCCACTGAGTTACATTCTTAGAATGTAGAACCAACTGCAATGATGTCACTGTAATATTTGAATACTTAACTGTGATTGGTGCTTTGAAGGTGATGTCTGTACCCCCTTGTTAGGGTGCCGCAGCCACATTTCCTTAACCAATGGCATGTGTTTAGGAAAGGACTATCAGTTTGACTGACTAATGGCAGATGAGGGGATCGTTTAGGAAACCTGTATGAAAACAGTAATTATACACAAGACAGTCACATTGTGTTGATTCTCATACACAGGCAACAATGATGCAGTACATATAAAATTGAACACTACTCTGTTGTGGCCCTGATATTTCCTCATAATGCAATGCAATTATTTCATAACATAATGCAAGTCTAGTTTGTAAACTGGCGTTATTGTCGAATCCAAGAGAGTGGGAATATTTCGACAGTGCGATGCATAATGCATCCGATTTAGAGGTCAAACTAAAATCCAGGCTTTTATAGGCACTGCTCTTCCGTCATTTATTAATGGAGTCCGGAAGCTGCCTCATGCCTAAATTGATTTTGCCCTCTCTTATGTTTGTGAAAAAAAAGAAGCTTCTGAGAAAGTAAGATTACTGGTAGAGGAGGAACCGGAGATGAAAAGAGGGATTAGGCGAGAGAAAAGCAGAACTAGAAATGTCAGTCTAGGGTCCATTTAAGAGAACTTTAATGGCTCTTGATAAAGCTGGAGCTCGATCTATAAGAGTCTTGATTAAAAAAGGTATCTTATGACACATTAAAGCATTTAATGAGCTCAATAAAGCATTTATATTGAGCTTAATGGAGTATTTATGAACATCATAACATATTTCCTAAAAATATACTTTTCCTCTTCTATAATACAGTGTTGTCGTTATTATTAAAATTGTTTCATTAAGTGAAATCAGGCTTGAATAAAATAGAACATAAATATCAGATTTTTAAAAAAATGTAAAAACTGAAATATAAATGAGAATTGGCAGCTAACTGAAATAAAATGTCTATGCACTAAAATAAAAATGACAAAAACTTGCCTATCTGTTAAAAAAAATTACAAATGTTAAAATGACACACTTAGCAAATAATCAGTGCATGGGACAAACAAAAAATCCTTTTCTTCACTTTCATAAAAAAGGTATAAAACCTGTCACTGGAGCAGGACCTTTTGAAAGGATGCCATCGCAGCTTTTGTAGCTTTTTTTACTGAGAGTGCTGGTGTCAAGACTTCCCTGAAAAATCAGTATATGAGATCCTCACATAAACTCTAAACTGCTCCTGCCAATAAATCCATCCATCATTAAAAGTATTGGACTCATTTGGGTTTGTACTGTAATTACCATGTGAGGGTAGCGTGGGGCAGCGTGTTGGGCTGCTTTTGTCTTTGATCATGGCTGAGTGAATGGGAAGCTGGTTAAAGTGTGTGCCTTGTTAAGAGCCACGGCCCTGGAAATGAGTCTTTGTGCATAAGAAATTCCTCCCATTACGGCTGATGGAAGATAATAGTGCAGAGATAGTAGACAATGCTGACATACTCAGTCGTTTTTCCAAAACAGCAATCGGGACAGAAAGGAGAGAATTAGATGTGCACAGCCGTCACCTGCAGGGCAAGAATTCTGAATAGAATTTATAGAGATGGGGTGCACTCAGAGTGTCAGATGAAGAAGAAGAGAAACGAAGAAGAGACTGGTCTGGTTTATGTTTTCGTCAGTTTACAATGAATCTCTTTGGTGCATAATGCTCTTTCCTAAGCTCTACATGTGCCACCCACAATACAATGAAGGGTGACATTTCTACATAATTTTACCTAATTATCCAACAGAAAAGCAAATATGCACATACTTTCACATAGCATTATAGAAGTTTTACAGTTTGTCCTTTGGTAACTAGAGTAATAGGTTGCAACGAGGTTGCAGATGTATTGATGTCGGAGTGCACAGGTTAATGTGCACCAAACTTCTTAAGGTTAAAATCCTACAGAAATGGTTAAAGTTTGAACAGTGCAAATTAAACACACACTTTCTATTTAAAGGAAAAATAGTCCAAAATGAAACATTTACTCACCCTCAAGCCATCCAAGATACAGCGGGTAAAATAAGTATTGAACACGTCACCATTTTTCCCAGTAAATATGTTTCTAAAAGTGCTGTTGACATGAAATTTTCACCAGATGTCGGTAACAACCCGAGTAATCCATACACACAAATAAAACAAAACAAATAAGTTCAGAAATTAAGTTCTGTGTAATAAAATGGAATGACACGGGAAAAAGTAGTGAACTACTGAAATGTATTTAATACTTTGTACAAAAGCCTTTGTTGTTAATGACAGCTTCAAGACGCCTCCTGTGTGGAGAAACTAGTCGACTCGCATGCATTGCTCAGGTGTGATTTTGGCCCATTCTTCCACACAGTCTTCAAATCTTGAAGGTTCTGTGGGCCTCTTCTATGAACTCTGATTTTAGTTCTTATTTTCTATTGGATTCAAGTCAGGTGATTGGCTGGGCCATTCTAGCAGATTCTTTCTCTGAAACCAATTGAGAGTTTCCTTGGCTGTGTTTGGGATCATTGTCTTGCTGAAATGTCCACCCTTGTTTCATCTTCATCATCCTGGTACTGTTGGTGTTGGGACTGAACCAGCTAATATTAATTTCCACTGACTAGGGGCAGGATTGCTTTCTAATTACTGATAGATTTCAGCTGGTGTCTTGGCTTTCCATGCCTTTTTACACCTCCCTTTCTTCATGTGTTCAATACTTTTTCCTTCTGTCACTGCATTTTATTACACATAACTTAATTTCTGAACTTACTTGTGTTGTTTTCTTTGTATGTATGGATTACTCGGGTTGTTACCGACATCTGGTGAAAATGTCACGCCAACAGCACCTTTAGAAATATATTTACTGAGAAAAATGGTGACGTGTTCAATATTTATTTTACCCGCTGTATGGATGAGTTTGTTTCTTCATCAAAACAGATTTGGAGAAATTTAGCATTACATCACTTGCTAATCAATGGATCCTCTGCAGTGAATGGGTGCCGTCAAAATGAGAGACCAAACAGCTGATAAAAACATCGCAATAATCCACACCACTCCAGTCCATCAATAACTTCTTATCAAGAAAAGCTGTGTGTTTGTAATAA